CCTGCAAAGAGACTTGCAAAGAAGTAACCATTACATAGTGTGAGAAGTGTCATAAAAAAAAGTGCCAGCCGTGTGGCGCAGCAGTTAAGTTCGCACGTTCCGCTTTGGCGGCCTGGGGTTTGCTGGTTCAGATCCCAAGCGTGGACATGGCACCGCTTGGCACACCATGCCGTGGTAGGCGTCCCACATATAAAGTAGAGGAAGATGGGCATGGATGTTAGCTCAGGGCCAGTCTTCCTCAGCAAAAGGAGGAGGATTGGCAGCAGTTAGCTCAGGACTAATCTTCCTCAAAAAAAAAAAAGTGCTCATTGGTATCATATTCAATATTTTTCACAAGTACGTTGATCTCAGAACAGATAAGCACGTTTTGGGGATAACAGTAGCAGCATGAAATATTAACCAAGGTGTCAGTATATGGGACCATAATCAGATTCTCGATATCAAGACTAGCAATAGCTAGTGTGACAGTTAATTTTATGTGTCAACTTGACTGAGCCACCGCATGCCCAGATAGCTGGTTAAATATTATTTCTGGGTGTGTCTGTGAGGGTGTTTCTGGAAAAGATTAGCATCTGAGTGGTAGACTAAGTAAAGCAGATGGCCCTCCTTAATGTGGCTGGGCATTATCCAATCACTTGAGGGCCAGAATAGAACAAAAAGGCAGAGGAAAGATGAATTCACCCTGCCTGAGAACTTGAGCTGGGACATAGATCTTCTCTTGCCCTTGGCACTTGTGGTTCTCAGACCTTCAGACCTGGACTGGAATCTACACCATCAGCTCTCCAGCTGTCAGGTTTTGAACTATATCACCAGCTTTCCTGGGCCTCTGGCTTCTAGATAATGAGATTTATCGGCCTCCATAATTGTGTGAGCCAATATTTTATAATGACTATTAATCTGTTTCTCTAGAAAACTTTAATACAGGTAGTAGTATTTCAACCTTACATAGTCTATGATTATGTCCTAATGATAACTCGTTTCCCAAAATGTGAAGAGGATGAGAATTACTTTTAGCCAAGTTTTTTCTTTCCTGAGTGTGGACTGAACATTATAAATACAAAATAAAGAAATACTGGAACAATATCTAAAACTAAAGCCAGAGAGTATCAAAAATAATGACTGTTGTTGGAATATAATCAGAAAACAATTTCTTGTAGACAGCTCACGTCATCACTAAGAACTACCGCTGAAAAAAAGAACAGTCCAGAATGTTTTGAACCTGTGAGATCAACATAAAAACAGGATCATGAAAAGAATTTGTTCACAATTTGAGAGAGAGAAAAAGAGCAATGATGCAAATTTTTCCATTGTTATTGTCTCATCACTGAGTAACCTAGAGGAACCACCCTGTCTTGGATTAAACATGATTTCCTTCTCATTGCCAACAACAATCTATGATTCTTTTTAACATGAGTAGCTACCTCTAATTCCATGCAAAAATCCTTTTGTGGGATACTGGGGAGATGTATTTTTTTAATAGTTCAATATGACATGTCTGAAAAACAACAAAATCTGCAGAGGAAAGGCCATCCTTGAACCCTAACAGGACAATTTAAGTAGACAGAGCATTGTAAACTTCATCCTTCTAGATTTATATAGTTCAATAATCCTGTTTACATTTTCATGTTTTAATCCAATCATAAAGAACTACAGTAGCAATTCCATAAAACATCTTATTTAATCCTCCAATAACCAAACCCATCATTCTCAAAAGAACTTTAGGTTAAGAATCACAGTTTAAAATGCTCTTTAATGACCAGCAATGGTTAGGAAACCTGTTTAGAAAAGTTATAAATATTTATTGATTGATGGATGTCAACAAACAGAAATCCTTTCAATATCTTAAAAGAAAGGAACAAAGGCCAACTGGAAGTCCTATTTTCTGTGTGTTCTCCAGCAGACTGAACATATAACACTCTCAGGGGAGTCCCAATTCACACACTCCCAAAAAAGAATAAAAGGATCAAGACACCAATAATATTGAAGAGTTTCCACCACCACTGCCTGCATCGTAGTACTAGAATGAATCATTCTTTGTAACACAAAATAATTCTATTGATTCATCTTTGGTAGAGAATAAAGGTTTGCCTTAAGATTTTCAACAGTGCTAGAGAGCTTATACACACTTTCGTCTGCACTGACTTTTGACCAATTATTTGGACACATGAAATCAGTATGTCAGCGTAAAAGGACAATCAGCATCATTCAAATCAATTTCATTGAGTTCCTAGTATGTGTTAGAAATTATGTCAGGGGCTGAGAATGAAAGCATAAACAAAGCATACTTCCTGTCCTTATGGAAATCATAATCCGGCAGGAGAAAATGAAACGTAATCACCCAACTAAAATGCAACACGATTTGAAAAGAATGAATGCGATGAAGTCAGGAAAAAGTATGAATGCCATGCTATGATGTTTAGCTTTTATTCTCTAGGTCAGGGCTTGCAAACTGTCTTCACAGGCCAAGCAGATAAAGTAAATGAATAAAGTTGATGGGCTGGCAAGCTATAGACAGCATTTCCCATCTACAGGGACAGCCACTAGGTAGTGTCAGTGGATTGTTGTCTTGTGGATTGGGGGGCCATATTAATCAGATTTCTAATTTTTCAAGAAAGGAATGAAATCTAGATTTTTAGCTATAAGTTCCTAATTTGAATTGTTGAAAACTTGCTTAAATTTTTTTTCGGCCAAACCATAACATATATATAGACCATATTTGAGCTTCTGCTAAAGACAATAAGGTGAGATTTCCAATGATTTTTAACAGAATAATGTGATTAGATTTGCACTTTAGAAATTTTTCTTGGGTAGTAGATGAGAGTATGGAGGACCAAACACGGGGAGATCAGCTGTTTGCAAGAGTCCCTGCATAAAAGAAGTGGATTTAAACTTGAGCCATAGAAAAGTGCAGACAGATTCACTTGAGTGAAAAGAACTGAGGACTAGGCAACATAATTGAAGAGAAGCAGCAAGTAGGGGAAAATAAAAATATGAGAGTAGAGGTGAGTGTTAAGAGTGGGAACACAGGCCTAATAGAGTGAATTCAAGGAGGAAAATAATACAAACACATACAGATATGACAAAAAGAAATTTGAAGAAATACATACCTAATAGCCTCTATTATTTTCATGGTAGGCAGAGTTCTAACATGGCTCTCAAGATTTCCATGCGCTGGTGTGCATGTCCCGTATAATCCTCTCCTTTTGTGGTTGGGTGAGAACTTGTGAATTTAATGAGATATTCACTCCTGTGCTTAGGTTAAGTTATATGGCACAGCTGACTTTAAAAAAGAGAGATTATTCTGGCTGGGCTTGATTAAATCAAGTGAGCCCTTAAAATGGACTGGGTTCTTCAGGAAAAGCAGGGGTTGGACTTGAAGGAAATTCCCTGTTGCTGGATTTGAAGATGGAGGGTGCCATGAGAATGGCTTCTAGGAGATGAGAGCAATCCTCGGCTAACAGCCAGCAAGGAAATGAATGCTGCCCACAATCAGGTGAGCTTGGAAGAGGAATCTGAGTTCCAGATGAGAATGCAGTCTGGCTGACACTTTGATTTCAGCCTTGTTGAGATCCTGAGCAGAGAAGCAAGTCGTGCTATGCCTGGACTTCTAACCTATAGAAGCTGTGAGATAATGGTTGTTGCTTTTAAACTGCTAAGTTGGCAACAATTTATTATAGAGTAATTGAAAACTAATACACTTAGTAAATAGAAAATAAGTTTTCTGAATAAAACAACAGGAATTGCTTCAAGATAAGGTTGGTGGAACTGCCATGAATGAGAGTAAAGCTGAATTTATTTTCTAGCAACTTTGGTCTCATCAAGCTTTTCCCAAATGTCATAGGAGGCACGAAATGACCCACTAGAAAGAGAAATAACTTCTGTTACATGAAATTTTAAGATATATATCAAAGGAGTTGGACAGTTTATAATAAAACTCTAAAAAAAATCATGTATGTATGGCAAAAGAATCACACATATATCATAAAATTATTTTAGAAAGCATTTTAATAATTATGGTAGAAAGTCATGAAAAAATAATAGTATCATTGCAATCCTGTTGGCATTTAATCACTTAGTCTTTTGAAATCATTCTGTTTATAGTCATACTGTCTGGTTTCCACAGTAATAAACACACAGCCTGTTTATTTTAAATATTCCATCCTGAAATGAGAAATTTTTTTCTCAAATTCATCCTGCACACTAACCAAGATCCCCAGCCAAAAAGATCACAGAAGACCAAATGTGTAAAAGACAAGTAAGATCCCATATGAACATCATCCAGTCTTTAGATTTAGAGAAGAATCATGTCAGACTCCAGCTGTTCTAACTTAATAGAAGGATGGCCCAGATCCTCCTAGTCCTTGTCGCCTAAGGGAGACAAGCAGCCCATGACATAATGTGTCCGTTTTGTTCATTTGATGTTAGTAAACACAGCACTTGCTTTATGTTTCATCTTTCTCTTGTCAACTTTCAACTCTCTTTCCCCAAAGAGAACAAAAAAGGTCTCTTTAGATGAAAAGTGAAAGTCTATTCTAAATTAAGGAATGTAAGAAAATCAATCTGTAAGAAAATTTAGAGTTGTCCTCACATGAACAGTTTCAAGGAGGTATTCTTTACAGTCTAATCAGCATATATTCTAAACAGAACAAAAGTAGTTCCCTTTAAACTTAGTAAAAAAATATAAAATCATTCACAATTTTAAAAAGGAAAAATAACTATTTTCCAGGAAATTAGAAAATAAATCTGAAATATATTCCTTTAAAAATGGAAGCATTAAATACATGGAAAATGAGAATGGGGAAAATATTAAAAAATAATTTATGTTTGGCAAATTTCAACTCTAACTCAAAACAATCCAACTCATCAAACAACCACCCCCAACCACCAGCCCCCTTGGATTAGTCCCACCTGGCCCTCTGACCATCCCCTGCTGCAAGATGGACTGGTGCCCTCTAAGTTAACTGTATTGCAGTTGTCAACTTAAAAAGCAAATAAGCCAGTTATTTTACCCTCAAAACGAGTTTATTCATGAATTGCAATTTGTGATGTCCATGCTTTGGTCGACCATATGCAAATCCAGAGAGACAAAGGAAGGGGCTTACTTTTATAGAGCAAACGGGAGAGTAGGGAGAGCTGTTCTAAACAAAAGTCCATTGAAGGAAAGTAACACTCGGGGGGCAATAGCTTCTCATTGGCTGAGCTGCAGTTGGCTGCAGTTGACAGGCAGAGAGAAATCTTCCTTCAGTAGGAAAGTACTTGCACTTCCCTCCAGAGATGCAAACCTAAGTCTGTTTCCGTTTGGAGTAATTGACCATGTACAATAGGATGTGAGAGCCCCCCTACAGGACTCCCCCATTCCAATTTAGTTGAGGTTCCTCTTACTCATTTCACACAGTCATCCTGGGTCTCCCTTCAGCATCATCCTGAGGATTCTCTTTGTTGTATACCCTGTTTCTTAGACTGAATGACACAAATTGAAAGAGTGGCTCATCAATCTTCAATCATTGCTAAAATGTGCATTTAAAACTATACAAATTATTTGGCTTCAAGTTCAGATATGCAGTGTTTTGGCTGGTGTTCAAGTCTACGTATTTCACAATCTTTCTTTAAGTTTTCTCTTTGGTCCACAGATCTTCTTATGTGTGTGCTTTTATATTTGTGGGAGAGACAATCTTTTTACGATTAAGTTATTACAGAAAACTTGAACTGTAGCTTGATTCTCTAGTCAAGAAGTCCTTTGTGACCTAGTATATAGTTAAATATTGTCATGTTTTAGTATGCTTGAAAAAAGTACATTCTGTAATTGTTAAAGGGATCTATCCATCCATTCATTCATCCATTAGAATAACTTATTTAAAATATACTGTTCAAATCTGCTATTTTTTTGTGTGTTTTCTTATCTGCTTAATATATTAGTGTTTGACAGAGGTGTTTTAAAAACTTTCAACATGATTTTGGATTTTTTAATTTCAACTTGTGAGTCAATTGTTGCTTTATGTATGCTGAGGTTATATTGTCAGGTGAATACAGGTTCTCATATCTTCCTAGTCATTTGGTCTTCCCTATTCTTAGCAATACTTATTGCCTTGAAATGTATTTTTTGTATGATAATAAAATTGACTCACAAGTTATATTTTCATTAATGTTTTTCTGGTGTATTACTTTTATCTCTTTATTTCCAACCTTTATGATCCTTATGTTTTAGCTGTGTTTCTTATAAACAGCATTAAGTTGGATTTTGTATTTTATAGAATCTACAATCCGTCTTTTAACAGGAGAGTTTATAGTCACATAATTGATTTACTTATTTATTTCTACCATCTTATTTTGTTTGCCTATTTTCTATGTATGTATTTTTCCTTTGCTCTATTTTATTATGTTTACTATTCCTTTAAAATCTGCTTAATCACTTAAAATACACTTATTTTATATTACATTCAATGTTTTATATTACTTCATGATGTATGGTAATAACTCTCCTTTTTATTGTTGACTGTATCGTGTTAGATAATTCATGTGGCCGGAATTTTTTATTCTGCGCTTATATTCAAAGGAGGTATTCTTTCTAGAAGAGTCCCATCTGCATGAGCTTTGCATTAGCTTCTGAATAGCATAGGCTTTGCTTTTGCAAAAGTTTCAGACAATCTCTTGGCTTGAGATTCCTGTGTTATGGGGACAGTATAAATTCTGACGTCATTCAAACATGTGCATGGGGGGTTCCCTTCCACCCTCCCTCCTCTCCCCCTAACCAGTTCCTAATACCCTATCACAACAGAGGCATTAAACTCAAGCCCACAGAACTTATATACAGCCAAATGACTCTTCTGGCCAATGAAGCATAACTCATGCTCTGACTTCAAGTTATCTTTTCATTTCTGTTCCCTGGAGATTTCCCCTCTTTTCTTGCCTCAGCATTTCTATGTACCTGGAATGGGAAGGATCATATCACAGGTCAGTCCCAGAAATCCATACAATGATTTTCTGATCACTCACATTACTTTCATGAATATCATTTGGCATTTATTGAGTGCTCAGCTCAGCACAAACACGAATGACAAGAAAGTCATGTTCTTTGTCGACTTGGAGTTTACAAAAGGCCTGAGAATTATTCATCATTGTCAGCAATTTCAACATGCAGTGTTATCACTATTCCAGCTTCCTATCCAAGAAATAAAACCCTCTAATTACACAGTATCTTTTTCATAATATTTTTTAATTAAATCTAATATAAATCAATTATGTCTAGGGATTAACTTAATCCCAGACACGGTTATTACCTCAAGAAATGCTAAGAGATTTTTAAGAAGGAATATCTCCTTAGAGAAACTAATTTTTTCATAAGTTATGCTTATATAGATAAAACGGTTATTTCATTATGCCTGGATCAGGAATTTTGAATTGAAAAATGATAACTAATTCTGAACATTTGTTAAAAGTTGTAAAGCTCTGGGAAGCTATTTTAAAATGAGATAATCTTAAATCCTTACCTAATCAGATAATAGTTTCTTTAACATTTCACATTATTTGGAGCCTTGAAAGAAAAGATATTTTAATTATTTAAAATTAAATAAAATAAACATATCAGATAAAACAGAATCACAATTTATATGTCATCCATAAAGCAATTTCATATTCCTAACAAGTTTTTATATTGTCAACTATAATTATGAGAGTTTACTCCTAAAACTTTCTTAGAGTCTTAACAAACTAAAATCAACGATCAGCGATTTTGAATTCAAAATCAATTTTAATCAATGATTCACAGATGCATTCTTATTTAATCTGGGAGAAAATATGAGATATTGAAAGATTTTTTTACAGAAGGTACTTTAGTGCAATATGTCACATGCCCAAAATATGTCCCAAACTGTAACATTTTAAAAATTTCCTTTTCCTGATCTTAGTAAGTCTAAAGAGTAACGATTTTTGATTTTTAGATAGAATGATTTATTGAAAATATTATTCTTTAAAACATGTGTAACAAAAATTTCTCTGAGGAACAATTTAAAGATGTCAAGTTTACTAAAAGGCTGTGCTGATAGAATAAAATTAACTATTGTATATTCTACTATTTCAAATTTCAGTATGAAGCTGAAGATTTTTTATGTTTAGTAAATTCTTACATAGATATCAGAGGTCATTAGGGTGGATAAGACTTCTTAATAGACTAAATTTCTTTCTAAGCACTTCAGGTAATTTTTAAAAATTATCCTTTAACAACCAATAGGTTTTTTTTTATTTTTGTTTTGTTTAAGAACTTAATGCCATCTATTACAGCATTTCTTTAAAAATTCCATACAGAAGTCCCTTGACATGCTGGCTAGATTTTCTAAGACCTTAGAATTCTGCACACATTTACAAAAACATAAACCTTTGTACTAGCTCCTAGCATTTTCAAAGCCACATTGCTCTCACATGCGTTTCTGATGTGTTTTGTTAAAAGTTAAGATCATTTTTATTATTCACTAAAATTTTCCTTCTGATTTGATGTCCATTTCTCCACAAAGACACAATATTTTGAAAACTTCAAAGGTTACTGTAGTGATAAGAAGAGAACAAAATCTCATATCATATGGGATAAATAGGCAACTCTCCCACCTAGGAATCTGTGGTGCAAAATTAAAATTAGAGCCACAGAAAATTACAGATTGTTTCATGTCATAGACCCTTAGCGCTTGCTCATGATTTGGATATTGAAGTTATAAATATCAGGAGTCTACTGATATAATCCATGATTTAAATTTTTACATTTGGTCTTCTCTCTGAATTAATCCAAATTACAATGCTCTATTTTGTTTTACAGTGCTTTATCAATAGGCATACAAGTACAGAAATGTGTACACTAAGATACTCTCATTAATGAAGTTCGATTCCCAAATCTGGCAATGCTGATGAGTAAGGAGATATCAATCAACATTAATGAATCAATTTGTAAAATTATGGGACATTCTAAAAAAGGAATACCCTTATTTGAGACACTTCCTAACTCTTACTTACTCAGAATTGTCTGTCTTTCTTCAGACAAATAAACAATGGAGAAACCCAATTGCTTGAAAATAAGCTACTGTAAAGAAGACCAGATCTGAGAGAGTCCAAAACAGCAGCAGGGACCATTTCAAACAACCACAGATGTCCACCACATGATAGCTAACACGCTGACACAGGGATGTGATGAAAGTCCTCTGTCCCCATTGTACTCGTTGTAAGGTGTGAGTACCCATCTGTTCTTTATTTGTGTTTCTGGAAACTCAGTAACTTTAGAGATGTACTCACATGGAAAAAACATGTATTAGAAACAAAAAGGAGATAGTTACAAAATGACTCAGTGGTAAAATCTGTAATACACTTTAGTACGTATTTAACAAGAGCTAATCAAAAGCTTCCAAATACAGTTCTTCCTGTATCAATAAGGAAGATAGCTGAAGAGGTGGTCAGGAGTTTCCTGAAATTGGTGAACTCCATAAGCCATTATTACAAATTGATTGTCATTAACATAGGAATCCAAACATAAGAGAGGAAATAAAAGGCAAATTATTTTACTTTCATTTTTTCCCTGGATTAACTAATGAATAACCAAGTGAAGTTTGGGAATTTCATAGTTACTTAGTGAAAAATGACAACAGCAAGCAGGTTAACTCAACATAAGAGGGAATTAGCATCTTCAGTGCAGAAAACAAATGAACTTAAATTTTATATAAGCATTTGAGTTCAATAGCTACTCAAAAAAACTGAATACGATTTTAAAGGCATATGCTAAGCCAGAATTAAAGTACCAAACAATTGCTGGTATCAGCAAGCCAAAAGTTCACTGTACATACCAAATTCACAGGAAATTATGAGTCCAGATCCAAGGACACGATAGGAAAGGCAGCCTATTTATCGAAGGTCTTTATACTTCTGATAGACAAGACAAATGAACAGACATGCTGAGTGAAGGAAAGAATAGCACTTCACGAATCACCTGGAGCAACCTAGTCCTCTGTTAGCACCTAATTCTATAGAGGTCTAAAAAATAGCCAAATACAACTGATTCGAATTGAAATAAAATAAATCGAAATTGAGTATATTAACAAGTATTAACATTAATAATATTAATAATATATATTTATGTATATTATATATTATAATAAATATTATAAATATTGAGGGATTCCCTTGACTTCTTCAATTAGGTATTGTTTTTATTCTCTTATCTATTAAAAAGTATGATTTGTAATCAAGGGCCCCTTTTAACATAAAAATGTCTGATTATTCACCCCATAAGAATAAAAAGACCTGAGAACACTATGATCACTTACTAGCTATGGTCCTCTCTGAGTATCAGTTTCCTCATCTATAAAATGAAGATGATAATAGTATCAACCTCATAAAGTTCTTATTAAATTAGCTTCTATTTGCAAAGCACTTAGAACAGTCTTGGCTCATATAAGTGCTATATTAAGTGCCTGAAAAATGACAAATTACAGAAAATTACATGACAAATTTAAAAAGTAATTATTTTGATGTAATCAAATTTAAATTTGGTCTCCTTCTTAAGTGGGAGAAGTTTAAAAAACTAGAGGAAGAGGTCTGTACCATCTCTTGTGACACTGAGGTGACAGCAGTCTATAAACAACTAAAAGATAAGTCATGGAAAAACACTGAGAAGAAAAGCAGAACACTAATCCAAGACAATCATAACCGACTTCCTACTTGAAAATGCCACCTCATTAGACTTCTGACAGAACACTTTCTGAAGTAAGAACAAATAAAGAACTTCACAGAATAATGCAAACAAAGGCTTGTCAATCATCCTATATGGTACACTGGCGACATCTGCATACATATACATATGATCTCATTTTGGATCGTAAAACCTTTGATATCTTGGAACAAAGAGGCTGTTCTCATCAATACCTAGAACATTTCAAGGAAAATACGGGCAAATGAAGCAGAACTGACAGACTACCTTCCAATTAGACACTGTCCCTACATAATTGTAATTAATAATGGATGCATCCAAGGGTTGGAGAATATGCTCAATATATTCGATCATGAATTTGAAAGCTGACTGTTATACAATCACATGGATAGGCTACTGGAGTTTTTCCTCTTTTGGTTCCCTCAAACAATTTCATATTCTCTGACTGATACAATCCAAATGGCATACGCTATCAAAGTTAACCCTTTACAGGGCTCTCAGAAGTAAGAATCTGACAACTTGAATTTGTTCTTTAATTTCAGAAAAAGAATAAAATTTGGAAGATAAGATTCAGAGCCACTTCCTTTTTTAAAAAATTCTTTTAGCTCACGACATATTAAAAATGAAGAAACACCAAACAGGGTCTTAAAAATTAGGAACACTTCTAAATGTTTACATTTAACAAATTATTGATTTAACATAAAATTCTATACATTTACAACTGTGTCTAATATAAAATTTTATGCATTTCTGATCATAATCAACAGAAGCTCTGAAAATATTCATAGCACAATATAGGTAATCTGATCTGATAATGGGACTCAAATTTTAAGTAGTAAGATAAGAGAATTATTCTTTCATCCTATCAGGGTTTCTCTGGAACTGTAGGTAAAATCTTATTTGGAAATAACATCAAAAAGCCTAAGTTTGAAGCCTTTCACAAATGTGAATTTTGCCACCAAGAATGTTTCAATGGATTGCTCCAACAGATTTTATTACCATATATTTTAATCTCAATTTTTCTGAGATTTTCTACTTTTTCCCTCAAGTTTTCATGACTACAGATTAACTCCCACATTTTCCACACAGGAAGACATCAGTAAAATAAAAAAGTGATAGAACCCATGTGAAATAAGGTCATGGGAAGCCCCTTGATACTTCACCTATCATAATAGCAAAAAGTTTTATCTTTTACATACTCACTTACCTTGGTCATGCTATAACTAAATTATAATTGCATCTTCACCGAATTTCCTATATTCAAATACTCTTTTCTTTCAGCGTGTCCATCTGTTTCAGTCTCACGGCAGTGCTCTGAATATTCATGGATGCCTTTTAAGTCGCATGCACTAGCACTCTGGGACAAACATTCCCACGGCCCTCAAACTATCTTACGCTCTCCAACTACCCCGGCTAAACGACTAACAGTTCCACTAGATTATAAATTCTCTAAATAAAGGGAATTATCTGTCTTGCAAATAGATCAAAATATGATTTGGAAATATAAGCAGCACTGAAATGAGTAATCATTACTTTTTTCAAATAATGAAAGTATGGAAGAATTTTAATAATTTTGAGAAGTTTCAACACATTTTATTACCTTAAAATTGATCGCTGTTTTCCTATTTTCCATGTAATCCTCCAATACGTGTCTTTCTACCTGTTTACTAATCCCAGAATTCTGTACTAACACAAATTCCATAGAACTTCACAAGTTCTAGGAACCTAATTTCAATATATTTCTTCTCTTAGTTTGTATGGCTGGGGTACAGTCCAGCTTAGGCTGTTACTGACATCTGTGTCATAGGAGCACATGTCACTTGGAGAAGTAAAGCAATTTGGTGAGTGGTGGAAGATGAGAACTATAAAAGGAATGAACATAAATATATCAATTATAGAAAATAAATATTTTGTATTTTTTGCTCAATGTTGTACACATAAGATTAGTACTTTGTAATTATCATATTTTCTATTTATAACTAAAGAAAAAAGCACAGCTTCAGCAAAAATGGGCAACATTCCCTTCTGCCTCCTATGATTAAAATTGTTTGCAGTTCTCCTGCAACAGTCTTATGAGGAAAAATTTTTAATATTTATTATGAATCATAAAAGCCAAGCCTCAAATCATCTTTGCCCACTCATAAATTATTCCCCCTTACTTTCCTCTTTCGTTTCTAAATATTATGACTTTACAGTATTTGACATAATTATCATCTTTGCATGAAATATTGTTATTTATCTTGTGTATCAGGTAAATTTCATTAGTTTATTTTGAAAAGTCTCTTTCATAGGTTGACAACGATATTTATTAATTATCAACATAAAACCTTTTTATATTGGTACTGGAATATAGACAATGATTCTCTCACAATCTAGAAAGGGATCTAATCCCTGTTGTAAAATGTCATATGTGGAGTGGTTGTTTTCTGAATTTATTAAAAAGAAAATAAGAATTCTTTTTAAATGGAAAAATAACTGTTAGGTCATCTAATCCATCTGTTGTCATGTACTTCCTCCTAGCCCAGAAGCATAACAGGCCATTACAGAAGATGATGTCCTAATCCTTTACTTGGTAGAAATCCCATGGTTTCACAAATTTAAAGTTATTAAATACAGTCAGCTTTTCTCAAATTGTTTTCAAGAGATAAGATCCCACATAAGTATTTAGATTTAGGGAGTGCTTCCTCACACAATGATACTACAATAGAGCAGTCATATCTACATTTACAAAAACTTCTAAACTGCATTTGAGTAAACAAACTCTTCACCATATAATGTACTACCCACCTAAGTAGATTCTTGATAAACAGCTACTTGGATGGACAACAAAGTTCAAAATAAGGATTGGCATTTTGAATCACAGAATATCCAAAGGGGTATTGTTGGGGTTTTTTAAAAACAATTTTTCATTCATACAGCAGTGGTTACTACCATAACTTTATCAAAAATTATTTATGTTCTTAAATGTTCACAGCACAGTTTTATATAATGAGGAAATAATTAAATCCATATTTTTCGAAGTGGGTTTTATATCCTAGTAGAAGTATGTGGCTACGAGCCAAGAAAGTGGGCACAGCAATCCACATAATCAACCTGGACCATCAAATGAACATTTAATTCAAGCATTGTGAGAGTTGGAAACTTTTCTTAACAGTAAAACAATCACAGGTATAATATGGAAGAGAATATCAAAGTCATAGGCATATTCTGAATTCTATTTTTGACCAAAATAATGCATGTACATAATTTAAAAAGTCAGGGTTCTACAACATTTATGATGAAAAAGTCCCATCCCATGTCCACCAGCAGATTTCAGCTCCACATAAGCAGCCTTTCAATGCTTTTAGCTACTTTTCATGACTCATCAATTTTAGCCATTCACGATGATTTCCTTTACTCTTTCTTCAGTCTACTTACTATGCAAGATGTGGCTCTAACTCTTTCAGCTCTCCTCACTCCCACTTCACTTTCTCTGCTTCCCTTCATCCACCACAGTTATATCGTTTTAATACATCATTTTACGTTTACATAATTATGAATGTATAAAATTGCTCTTGGCTGAACTATGTAATATACTATGATTTTATTTTCTTTCTTGTACAACTATTTGTTCTCTGAATTAATTACTGCTTCACTTCTGCATTTGTTTTGTTTTCTATGTATTTATCACTAATTCATCCCCAAAGTCTCCAATAGAGTTGTAAATGTCTCTAAACACGGACAAACATTAATTAGGCATTACATTTTTCCCCTTGGGTAGAACTTTCCTGAAGCCCTCTATCTTTTCGCTCACCCACGGGGTGGTTACTCCCTGGGGCTGGAGCAAACCAGTTATCCTGGGATTTCAGCCCATCACTATCAACGGACCATTCCCTTTGCCTCTCTCCCGGATTAGATATCTACCTACTTGAGTACTTGTCTTTTTCTTCTCTCTTGGTGTACTCCCTGTTTTAGTGAAACACACTCTGCAGAAACTAAATGAGAAGGAATTCCCATGAGGTAAAATTTCTGAGAACTTGACTATCTAAAGGTATCTTTATTGACTATTGACAGTTTGGCTGGTTACAGAAGAATTCCAGGTTAAAAATTATTCTCCCTCAAAATTTGATCTACTCTTTGCTAGCTTCCAGTGTTGCTATTGAGACGTTCAAAGACTTTCTCATTTCTAATGTTTTGTGTGTATTTACCCTTTTTTTCTTCCTTTCCCAGATATTTTTGGGGTCATCCTTGTATTTCAGTACTTTGAAATTTCACAGTGATACATGACCTGGTATGGGTCTTTATCCATTCATTGTGCTGGGTACTTTGTAGGCGTTTCATATATATTATATATGTCCCACATATACAACAAATATTCTTGTATTTTTTCTTTTATAAAATTAACTTCTTCTCTGTCATTTTCCTCTATCTTTTTCTATAACTCTTACCAAAGAATGAAATTCTTGGATCAATGAACAAATTTTCTTTTCTTTCCTCTCCCATTTTGTGCATCTCTTTTTCTTATAATTTTACTTCATGGAAGGCTGGCTCCATTTATCTTCCACCATTCTAATATTTTTTTAAACTTATTTTAATTTTCAGGACCTCCGTCCTTTCTCTGATAGCTCTGTTTTAATAGCATATATCCTATTTTTGCTTTACTGATGCAAACTTCTCTGATTTATCTGAAATATTAATGATAAGTTATTAGACATTTATTCTGTCCCCTTCAGCATCTCTTTACTCAAAGCTGTTTTATAATTTTTATTTGATTTGATTATTGGGTTTTATACTACAGAATCATCCCCCCCCCCCCAAGCCCTCCGCCCAATACCTGGTAATCCTTGACTATCCATTCATACTTAAGAGTAAGGAACAGAGAACTTACTGTAAACTCGGTATGGAGAGGCCTCAGTATAGCGTGGTCATGCAGAGACACTGTATTTCAAGACACCCCTACCTGCCAATATCCAAGTCTTTTCTCTTGATCAGTTCCTCCTTGCACTCGGGAATTACAAGACTGGCTGCTAGAATTCTTGCAATTAAGCAAGGAAAGGGAGACTGTTCCCATTGTTAATTATGTAGATTTTCATTTAATCCTCATGTTTTTCATACAGTCCTTCAACCTGTTCAGCTGTATTTGGTATCTGTGAACCCAGATTTTTTTCAGGAAACAAGAAGAGGGAGAATGAGGTGCATGGCTACCTGGGTGATCTAAATGACCCTTATTAGCTTTGAACAAATCCTCATGCTTTCAACACTGTTTTATACCCTCACCTTTGGAGGTAACTGGTACCTCCAATTCCTGAGGCTTTCCGCTTAGGACCCAGTGTGCCTCTGTAGCAACCTCCCCTGAATACATTAGAGTCTTCCTCCACTCCACTTACTGAGTTACTAATCATTCATATGCCTTCCATCATCACAAATTTCACAGATATCTCTTAGATGCCCTCTACTATTCTTCTTGGCTTTGTGAATTTGTACTGAGTTTCTGCCATGTTAACAGAAGGGCTCATACAAAATATTTAAAGCAATATAAGACACTTGAAAGAAATTTTGCATTTATGTAAGCTAATAGGCCAATCACCTAGTTCACTCCCCTTAGCAAAAAGAGATAATTGAGTGGAAAATTTTGAGGAACAATGTCTAAATACACATAGTCTCTGAATTCAAAAACTAATGAAAAACTGATCTTTGACAAAGGAGCAAAAGCAATACAATGGAGCAAAGATAGTTGGTTTCAACAAATGGTGCTGGAACAACTGGACATCCACATGTAAAAACAGAAACCTAGACACAAACTTTATGCCCTTTACAAAAATTAACTCAAAATGGATCATAGACCTAAATGTAAAATGCAAAACTAAAAACTCCTAGAAGATAACATGGGAGACAACCTAGAGGACCCTGAGAATGGCAGTGAGTTTTTAGATATAACACCAAAGGCATAATCCACCAAATAAATAATTGATAAGCTGGACTTCATTAAAATTAAAAATGTCTGCTCTGCAAAAATAATGTCTAAAGAATGAGAAAATGAGATACAGACTAGGAGAAAATATTTGGAAAAGACAAATACAATAAAGGACTGTTATCCAAAATATAGGAAGAACTCTTAAAACTCAACAATAAGAAACAAAAAACATGATTAAAAGATGATTCAAAAACCTTAACAGACAATCCACCAAAGAAGACATAGAGATGGAAAATAAGCATATGAAAAACTGCTCAACATGGTATGTCATTGGGGAAACGCAAAATAAAACAAGAAGATACACTACACATCTATCAGAACGGCCAAAATCTGGAACACTGATAACACCAAATGCTGACAAGGATGTCGAGTAGCAGGAACTCTCACTCACTGCTGGTGGGATTGCAAAATGGTATGGCCACTTTGGAAGACAGTTTGGAGGTTTCCTATAAAACTAAACATACTCTTACCACATAATCCAGCAACTGCATTCCTTGCTATTTATCCAAAGGAGTTGAAAACTTATATCCACAAAAAAATCTGCACATAGATGTATATAGCAGCTTTATTCATAATTGCCAAAACTTGGAAGTAACCAAGATGTTCTTCAGTAGGTGAATGGATAAAGTATGGTACATCCAGACAATGGAATATTATTTGGCACTAAAAAGAAATGAGCTGTCAAGCCAAGTAAGACATGGAGGAACCTTAAATGCATATTACTAAATGAAAAGCCAATCTGAAAAAGCTACATACTATACAATTCTAACTATATGACGTTCCGGAAAAAGTAAAACTATGGAGACAATAAAAGATCAGCAGTTGTCAGGGGTTGGGAGCAGAGGCAGGTGGAGATAAATAGGCAAACCACCGATGATTTTCATGGCAGTGAAAATACTCTATATGATACTATAATGATCGATACATGTCATTATACATTTGTCAACACCCAGACTGAACCCTATCACAAACTATGAACTTTGGGTGATAATGTGTTCCAATGGAGGTTCATCAACTGTAACAAATGTACCACTCTGGTGGGGGGTGTTGACAGTGGGGGAGGCTATATATGTGTGGGATCAGGTAGTATATGGGAAATCTCTGTACCTTCCCCTCAATTTTGCAGTGAACCTACAACTGTCCTAAAAATACTCTTAAAAAAAATTAAAGAATTAAGATAATCAAACTCTAATTGCAATTGTAACCATACAAAAGTCCATCAACTGATTATTAGATAATCAAATTGTTGTCTATCAGTGCATCAGAACTCTGTTCAACGAGAAGGAATGAGCTACTGATACAGGCACCAACATGGATGAATCTCACAAACATTATGCTGAGCAAAGGAGGCTGGCCATATAAGATTACATACTGTATGATTCTATTTACACAAAGTGCAACAACAGGCAAAACTAGTCTCTCATGAGGGAGATCAGAAGACTGCTTGCCTACGGGGGATAGGGATTGACTAGATAAGGGCATAAGGGAATATTCTGAGGTGATATTAAAGTTCTGTACCTTGACTGAGGTGGTGGTTACACAGGTGTATACATCTTCAAAACTCATCAGACTGTACATTTAGGATCTGTGCATTTCACTGCATATAAATTTTATCAGAAACATAGAGAAAAAAATATATATGCGTAAGTCTATCTTCAGCTAGTTAAATGACCAAAAGTTTTGCCATAAGATTAGTGGTATATTTAATATTTAAAGATGTATATACCTCAAAATAGATTCTTTTGCAATAATTAACTTTACCAAATAATACTGAGGATTTCAGTTTTGACGTTTAAGTCATAGATCTGAGAGCAACTCCCTAGTTTCAACATTTCCTTCTTTGACTAATAAAAACTATTTTTTTTAGTAAGATTCGTTGATTTCTTAGACATCTTCACTTCTTAAAACTACTCTCTCACTAAGGAACTTAATTTGATTGTGTATGTTAGTATTTCTCAGGAATGACTTTTGATTATTTTTAAAGTATACCACTGAGAATATTTTAATGTTCAAGAAATACTATAACCTTTTAAAGAGTAACTACCTTATCCTAGTTAATAAATGGCATGTTTACATGACAGTGCTCAGTTTGTTTGATTTTTAAGCTTTTTACATTTTATATGTTGTTTCTTAATGCTGTTTCATCACTAGCACATTTTCATTTTCTTGTGAATAACCATTTTCACAAAGAAATAGTTTTATTACTTCATAATAGTTTTTGTATATAATACAGTATGTGGCAAAAAACAAAGGAGTTTTGAGATATCAATTTATCAATTTAGCTCTCTCACTTAGTAAGTGAATTAACTCCCATAGAAGATCCTTTAAGGTGTAGAGGATTTAAATTTGTGCCTTGGGGAAAAAAATTACTTTATGTCACACACTTGCGTAGCACACCAATGTAAAATCCTTGAATATCAAGGATATACTGAGAGCCCCAGGCCTTTAGTCTTATTCATCACAGAGGATTTTAATTTTATCCTTTAGTTGTAATGCTTTTATTTTGTCCAATTAGTCTAAAAACACAATAAAAATACTAACAGAATATATTATTTTTTAAAAAATATACTCATATCCCATATAATCCAAAAAAGAACAATGTTTAGAAAGATGAGACAAAAAGAAAACAAAGAGCATAAAACAGCTAGAAATGAGCTATTACACAAAATATATCAGACGAAGACTTATATTGTAACTTGGGCTATGTCTGTTATATAACTACTATTTACTCAACTATATGAAATGTTATCATTTGTTACAAGCAAAAATACAACTGTGTTATGATTGTTAATTTGTTTCAGATGACACTGGCACAAACTCATAATTACACAATTATATAATACGGTAATAATATGATTTCACAATATATAATGAAAATTAAATAGCATGATGTATGCCTGACAGAAACCTTGCAGGAATTCTGCCAAAATCTCCTTCTCTTCCAGGTTTGTATTTCATGAATCAAAAGAAGAAAAGTATGAGTATTCCTGAATATAAACTGTTCAAATCATTCAAAAAATAAAAAACTTTGACTTTATTAAAAAATAGCTGAAAAAGATCTGTAAAAAGCCCTATAAGTGCAGTTTAAAAGCACAAGGTAGAAGTTACTACTACTAGCACTTAGGTCTTCTAGAAACTTAAATTCATTCCCTAAGACTCACATACACTATATGGATCACTCCATAAAAGGCTTTTTGCTTTCTATACAACGAACAAATCATCTTGAAACAAATATAAATATAGCAGCGGAAGCAAAGAAGAGGATGAGTAAAGGGAAAAAATAAGGGTGGCGAAGAGGGCATGACCACAATAACGGTATAAATCTGAACAGAGCAAAACATTTTCTTAAAGTGAAGTATATTAAATGATGAAATAATCTCCCTAGGAATGTAATGAAAGCCGCATCACTTAAGTCTAGAACGAGCCCAGACAAAGCACTTGAGAAAATCCCACAGGGACCAGACTAGTACTGGCAGGGGAATTGCTTTGATGAAGGTCTTAAATTTTCAACTGTTTGTCATTCAAAAGACAAAGATAGGTCATATTCCCTGAAGAATGTAGCTGCAAATAAATGATGCACGAAGACCTCATTTCAAAATTAAATGTTATGTTCTTCTCGGTTTGCCCTTCTAAAAATTTCAAAATAAAATAGTTAACAGTTTTTTGCGTTGAACATATTTCATTCACAACTAACAAATCAGTTATGATAACTTGTTTTATTTAGTCTTCTATTTTTAAGCTACCAATTTCCAGAAAGCATTTAACTAACGAGAGTAATATATACGACAAATTAACACGTAAAAAGCCGTGAAGATTACAGTTCATGTTCCCTGAGTAAAGTTAAAGAAAGAAAAGCTAAAATAACAATAGGTTTAAACAAAATATCCTAGAAATATCTGTTTTTAAAATTGTTTTTGAAAAAAAGTAAAAAAATGATTTTTGGAAGAAATCATTCTTAAAAAGGGTTTTTCTTAAGTTTTATCTTGGCACCAAAATGAATATTGACATTCAAATTATGTAAACGTTTTTCAACTATTCTAGGTGCTAAATTACTATTAGTTAATCATATTCTAATCATGTCTATTCTTACAGTTTTAACAGTATTTTTAGATGAATTTTTTGGTGTATTAGAAAAATGTCTAAACTATGATCATCTAAGAGCTGCTTCCTGACTTATACATTAAATCACTCCAGAATAGGCCAGTCTAAGAGGAATCTTCGTATGCTGAAATTAAATCCATCAAGGACAGAGTTAATGACTCAATTAATATACATCTATTTTATACTTTACATAAAACTAATAGTTTCCAATTTCACATCATGTAAGGTGACACAAAATCAATACCTGCAAACCCTTTTTAAGCTAGTGAATACATTAGGCAGGTGATTGGTATATACGAAGCAATTAATAGTTTTGTATACTACTTGCTTGAATAAAGGGACTGAGGGAAAGCCTCTGAAGGGTGACTAAAGTAATATTTTGCTATAGTATTTTAATCCTTTCCCCCTTTAGAAATACATCAAAGTTCACTTTAAAGATTCTGATGAGGACTCCCCCAAGGAGGTTTGATAGAGAATCATATGTTGAACGTACTTCTAGCAGGCAAGGTTATGACAAGCTTTGTTTTTAGTAAGTAATGTTTTCAAGACTTTTTCTTTCAGAGCAGTTTTAAGTTCACAGCAAAACTGAGAGGAATGTACAGAAATTTCCCATATACCCTTACACATGTGCAGCCTCCCCCATTATCAACATATTCCATTGTCTGATGGACCCCAGCTTATTTACCCATTCACCTACTGAAGGACATCTTGGTTGCTTCCAAGTTTTGGCAATAAAGCTGCTACGAACATCCCTGGGCATGTTTTCGTGTGGACATAAGTTTATAGCAGCTTTATTTCTAATTGCCAAAACTTGGAAGCAACCAAGATGTTCTTCAGTAGATGAATGGATAAATAAACTGTGGTAATTTAAGTTTAAAACAAAGAAACAAACTGTTACTTTTCCAAATATGTAATTATTATGATAC